GTAAGGAAGATCAAACCCAATAGGCCGATCTAATTCTTATCATGGTCGACCGTTGCTGTTTGTTTTGCTTGTTTATCTAGAATGTCGACTTTGGCTTTGTTTGTAAGACTATGGTGTGCTTAAAAGGTCGGCTGGTCAATGTTTCTGGTCGACCTATCAATTGTTCGTGGTAGTATTACACATGTTTTTGTTGGTAAATTGGTATTATATATTTTGCTGGATAGGTCGACCTAGGAAGAGCAAATGTCGACCTAATTGGTTCTGGTAGTGACAACTTACGTCTTTAGGGTCGGCCTAATAATATTTCAGGCCGACCACTTCTCTGTTGTTGGTCATTTGTACAAAATTAAAGTGACCACCTTAGAGGATTCGGTTCACCGCAGTTAAAAATAGGTCGACTGAATTGTGCAAGTTACAGTGACTTACAAAACACCATAGGTGCACCCTAAACTTTAATATGATCTTGAATGAAAGGATCCCTCCATCTAAAGATCTAATAAATTAATTAAATTAAACCACTCAATTACAAGATCTCGTTGAAATGGTCTCCAAAACTTTGAAGCGAAAATTTGAAATAAAAAAAGATGAGATGACCATTGGTTTATGATGAAATGGTCTCCAAAACTTTCAAACAATAGTATGGTGAGTCGAAGTAGTTATTTGGTGGGTGCATATTAAAATACAAATCATATACAAATTGGTCACGCAATTGCATGGGAACCAAAAGAAAAATCAAAGAAAATATGTAGCAGATGTTGACCACGCCTCTTCTACTCTTCTACATGCATAACCAGACAAAGACGTACAAACAAATCATATTTCAATAAAAAACACAAATTAATCGGACGTGAATAAAGATAGAGCCCTATTCTACATGTCAGTATTGACAACAAGAAAAAAGAGTATTCCGATAAGCATTTAAAGTAATATGCCGGATATACAAGAAGTTTAACGAGGAAATTTGACATGATTTACAGGAAGAAATGCCTACTATGATGCATAATTTCGCTTCTCCCTTACTAGACCTACTTTTGGCCCTCGTTTCTCTTATTCGACATTGTAGATATTGGGAGCGAGGAACTTCAAAAAATAAAAGTACAAAACTTTGTTGCTGATTATATCTTATTTATCGGGGCCACGAGTCTCATATGAATTTTCACATAATAAATAGTCTAAACATTAATTTATTTTGTTGACCTATTCTATGAAATTTTTTTTAGATATGAAATACTCGATCGATTGGTGGATTATCATTGTACACATTAGGTTGGCATTTTGTGTCCTATTCCTACCAAACAAAACTTGGAAAGGATTAATAAACTGATCACTGCACATATATGGTATGACCTTTATAGTCTACAACTAAGACTTTAATAATTAGAATTTACCTTTTATCACAGAAATATTTATTTAATGTAACGATATAGTCTATAATCATAACTAATTTATGCATTTGTTCGTATAATGATCACTAGATGAAGTCTTGAAATTTTACCAAACAAGTTTTATAATTACTTCAAAATATTATAAATAATTTTCGCATAGATCTTAAGTGTTTTTTTTTTTTTGTTAACTCTTATACAAATGAAAATTACTAACATTTTGAAATATATTGAATGATAAAATTAGTAATTATAAAATAGTATTTATCATACAACATATCCATAAATTACGAGTGTGTAATATACGAGTTGATGTATTTTTTTTTTTATATTAACCTTGAGACTTGGTGGTATTGCTGAGATAAGAACACCCACTACTATCCCGCGCTAAATTCGAACTTTGGAACCAACAACCAACAAAAAGATTTATTTATGAGGAGATGACACCAAATTCCGCAACCCACATGCGTTGGAAGGAACCAGCCAAAACCCCATCCAATTTTAATAGTCGTTGGGATTGGAGTGGTCAAGAATAATGTATACAAGCTTATAAAATCTGCCAAGCTTATAAAATCCTCCTCATGATGAGCTGTGGTGTGTGATGGGGCCTGCCAGGTCTCGTTGGACACAATTCCAAGACTTTATAGAATACATGTTCTTTAGGAGTTCCAGAGTTGACCGATTAAGGGATCTGCAAATCAATAGATAATAAATGATAAATCCGTTTCCTCGGTGGATTTTGCTATACAAAAATGTATATGAATTATTATTGGTCTTTGTTCGATAACTTGATTTATTAAAACAAATCAATTATTCATATGGGTATTGGAGTATTTTATAATCAAGATGTCTCTTGTTCGAATTATCGTAATCCTCGATAGTAACTTATAATAGGATGATCATGACTCATGGGTCAACTTTAATTCATTGGGGGGAGTGCAAGGGAATGTTAATGGCGTATAAGATTAATTATTGTAAGTTTTCTTCCAACAATTCGAGTTATTGACATCAACTTATTATTGATATTATTCATTATTATCGATCTTCTCCTGCCAACTCTCAAATTGATTCTTTACATTTTATTCCACCTGAACTGAAAAAGTGAGGTTTTCGATTTCAATCTACCTTCCGAGCCACATAGAAAGTTGTAATACGACTAAAACAATTTATAAACCAATCATAAATAGTATCTGTTAAAATTTCAATACTTAGGTAACCCGATCCAACTTACTCTTTTCAGTTTTCCTCTCCAGCTTAAAACCTAACTTCTCCTCCATTCAATAATTCACTCACCCAACTCAACAAAATAATATCCATTTTTTTTCCTCTAAAAGTTTTAAAAAGGGGGATTATTCTTATTTTTGAATTAGGGGATAAGGTCAAAGAGAGGAAAAACAGCAATTAATGGCTTGATAATGAAGGAAACATAAATCCAAATTAAGCAAAGGGAACGAAATGGAAACAGTCAGCACCTCAGCTGTATAAGCCAAAAGGGCCAAAAGAAACCCATCTCAAGAAATTCTGGCGGTTTTGTCTCAATCTGTCCTCTAATTAGTCAACAAAATCATAATTAATATGGTCCTGATTATCTTGTTTTAAATTTTAGTCTCTTAAATGGATGGTATAGTGTAAAATTACAACTAAGCAATGTATTTTTACTCATAAATTTATTCTTATATTTGTAACTACTCATAATACCGGTAGACCATAATTGACTTTTGCGTAAATTCACACGACTTATTTTGCATTGTTATAAGATTAAAAATTAAGATCAATTTAGGACGAATCAGACAACCTAAATGACGATTATAGGACCGAGACCAATGATCAATAGTATACCATAGACACACCAAAGTAATTTTATGGTCCTAAATAGTATTCTAATCAATATTTTTTTGTTCTCAATTAACTTGAAAAAAGAGGAAACAAAAGGGGACAGTTTTAGGGTCAAAAGAGTTGCTTGCCACCTGCTTTTTTTCTGCTGCTCTGGTTGTAACCTTGTGAGGTTCTCAGTTCCCAGGAATCTCTCTTTGTGATTTCTTCCCACTAGAGAAAAAAGAAATAGAGTGAGAGAAAGCGAAACATAAAGGGTGGGTGGAAAACATAAATAAATAATCAAGGGGGAAAAATTCATATCAAATTCATAGCAATTGCAAATCCAGCTCATTTGATTCAATTTTTCTTATTAAGCTCCAAAATTAGTGTCATTGGTTCCTTGATTTAGTGAAAACCTAAAAAGTCCCACCTTGGCCTCTCTTTTTTATAAGCTGTAGGGTTATTAGATGACCACTTTGTTTAATTGTAGGGTTATCAGATGTATTAGCCATTTTGGAGATGCACAATCATGTGCTTTGTATTTGGTACAAGAACAACCCATGAAAAGTTTCAAAATCAAGATCAAGACCAATAACAAGTACTATAAAGGATGATAAATGTTTTTTTTAATAGTATGCAGTTCAGTTGGTAATGTGTTGCACTTACATGAACGAATTTTTAAGTACAAATCCACTTTTTCAATAAGGGTTTTATGGAAACATTATTCTACTCTTACGAAAAGAAAGTGTAGCATAGTTTTTTAATACATTTTATATATGGTATAATAAAGCGAGTTGATGAAATGAATATGGCAAATTCATATACATATTTTTGGTTTGACGATACAAATATATTGTCTTATCAAATATTAACCGTCTGTTTTGGTGTTTACCTTCTGTTTTCAACAAATCAAGTACATACAAGTGAACATAAGGAAGGCAACGTGAAACAAACCAGCTATCAGTCTCGAGGTTGTCGTCTTCACTCAAGTATTATCATATGAAAACTCTTTTGATGCTTGCTTCCTGTCGATTAAGGGACAACCAACACCAACCCATTTTATGTCAATATAACTTACTATATGTTGAATTTAATGTACCAATATCTCCAACCTCAAATGGTTTGGTGTCAATCCACCTTACATTGACCAATGACCACCAAGCTAGCTTTCCTTTTTCCAATTTGGAATGTGTTTGGCTTTTGACATTACCCTTTGTGGCAAAGCAAGGAAGAAGGGAGAAAACATATCCAATGAACCCTGAAACATGAAAACTATGTGCTATACAAAATTGGTGGTGGTTATGGTTTTTCCTTTCTCATCTTGTTTTCCTTTCCTTTACTTTCCTCTCACTCAAGGTAACATACATAGGAATGAATTTGGACCTCCATTCCCCCCACCTCATTTACTCCCCACTTAATATGGATCACCCATTTTGGCAATAACCCATTCAAACATCCATATCCACATCACAATCTCATTGGTTAGGTTTCTCCTCTTGGTTTCCGACAAGATTTCTTCATGGTACTACCCATGTAGGGCATTTCATTAATGTACAATTTTTCTCGTCTTTCATCATAGAGACTCGATAACATCACGAAATACTCAATTACGAAACATGCAACTATGTATTGCACAATTAATTGATTATAGATAACTTGATTTGAATAAACCCAATTGAATGAAGTAATCATATGCCAGACAAAAGGACGTATTAACTGCTATTCGCCAAAACGATACACGTTGCTAAAGGATGATTAGTCATGAAAATATAGATGAACCGACTTGTAAGGTATGAGATTCTCGTAGTTTTTTTTATTCATTACTTGCCTGCCCCGCTGTCGCAAATTGTCCAATCCTCGTTAATTTAGTAGCTATTTACAGGTTCGTGTTCCCTATACATCGTAATGAGTTTACCAACTAAACGTATAAGTTGATCCAAACCAACGATTTTTCTGTAAGTTACTGTATTGTATCCGCAGAAATGTTACCTGATTTACAAGGAAGAGAGGGAAATCGAACTAAATCATGAGACCCTAATTCGAAAATCAAACGAATTGGAGACTAATCTCTCCCTGTATTAAGTATATATTAATTAACTACCAAAATTCATCCTCCTCTTCCTTTCCTTTCACTTTTTTTCTAACAATCCTTTTCTGGTGCGGATTTTTACAAGGTGGACTGTCAAAACGGCATAATGTGGGTGGTCTTAGTGTCGTAACTAGAAAGGCATGACTTGGAATTCACGCGGAAAATCCTCAGCAAATCCGTCGACATCTGCCTCACCGCCGGCGAGCAGTTGCTCTGCATCAGCAGCAGGATCCGCGTCAGGCCGTTGCTCCTGATCACCGCGTCCGCCGCCTTCTGGTCCCTGAACAGGTAGCACACCGTCCACAGTATCGTCACCGCGACCTCCGTCGCCGCGTCGGAAACCTTCATCGCCTTCCTCACCACCGCCTCCACGCACGCGGAGTCGCCGCAAAGCTCCGCCATCCCTTCCCGGCAGGACGAGACCGACTCGAGCAGCTTCAGCGCCTTCTCCGTCGTCGAGGCGGAGATTACCGACGGAGATTTCAGAATCTCGCGAAGCTTCGCGATCGTTCTCAGGCGGACGAGCTGCGGCTTCACGCGCTTCGGCATTGAGATCGAGATCAGGCACGAGAGGCAGGCGTCGACGAGAGACGGATCGGTTTGCGGAGCGATGGAGTTGACTAGGTGGAGCAGTAATCCGTCGCTTTCCGCCAGCGCGAGCTTCGATTCGGCGTCGATGGCGATTGATTGGATGATCCGTACGGCTGCGATTCGCGATTGACTGCTGCTGCTCCTCCCCTGTTTCATAACACGGAGGAGCGACGGCGGCAGCGAATTGGGGGATTTCTCCTTCGGAATCAGTATCAATCTCTTCAGCTCGCGAAAATCCCCAAATTCGATCGACACCAAATCCAAAACCCTAACCGCCAGCTCCTCCACCACCGGCGGGGATAACTCCTTGTCATCTGAACAAATCAGATCCGCGAGCATTGCCACGAAACCGTCCATCTTCGCCAGGAACCTCCGGTTCTCTCCGGATTCCTCCGCGAACGAAGCGATTTTCGAAAGCGCGTCGAGCGAGCAATTCGCTCCCGATTCCTTCTTCTCGCCTCCGATTTCCTTGACGACGAGCTGGATTTTGTCCGGGGAAAGCGGCGCCGACTCGGCCTCCTCCGCCGCGGAGGCGGAGGAAGCGGAGTTGTTGCGGACGGAGTTGGACCAGATCTGGATGAGGCGGTGGAGGTTGTCGTTGGGGACGAACTCCTTGGTCTCGAGGACCTGCATCGTCGCCGGGCAGGTGTTGTTGCCGGAGTCGAGCCAGCGCTGGATGCTGGAGCGGTCGTAGGTGACGCCGGTGGAGAGGCTGACCGGGGATTTCATCACGTCGAGAGAAATCGGACACCGGAAGAAGCTCGGCACCGTTATGTACAAGTCGTCTCTCACCATAGCGATTCGTTATGGTTGTTTTTTCTTCTGTTTGTTTGCCGTGAAAATTGAATCTACAGGGAAACGGAGAGAAAATGGAACAGAGAAGAGAAAGAGAGAGAGTGAGGGGAAATGGGAAGAAGAACAGAAGAGGGCGACGGTAGGTTTAAAGAGTCAAAGGATCGGTGATGTCAGCCGCTCGACTTTTCGGACGGGGGAATTTTCACTTTTTTCCCCTTTTCTTTTCAAATCTCCCTTTTTAGGTTCTGCGCGAATAATATTCTGTTTGCAAATTACCTTTTCAGTCCCTCGAAAATTGAATTGCACAATGTTACTAAGTGAGTGCCAGATTACACCGGCCAGAAAAGTTCAGTATTCGCGAGATTCTACTTAGATGAATAAGGTAGTAGAAGTTTTGAAGACAAGTCGTTATCCTACTCAAAACCTTTCATTCGATAGAAACTGGAGACAAAAGATCTAACAATCTACCGAGAATTGAAAGTACGAAACTTCATATCCAACCCGATCGTCATATTACCAACTTCACATCCTTGTAAAACAACAAACTAATCTCGACCCGGCATCAACCCCTCTTCAAAATATACAAGCAGTAGTAGATTCTTCTAATGTTGAATGACATGCATCTTAACTGAACTGTTACAGTCGTGTGACACATCCTCCTCCTCCTCCTTGCCAGCCTCCTTTTGAATGTAGAGCCCTCTATCCACGATTTCAAAAACTAGACAATGCTCTAGAGGAACATATGTACTGTCATTTGTGACATCTACTAGGGATGGGCATTGGGTGGGTCGGGTGGATTTTGACCATAAAATGCACCCACCCGCGCTTAAACGGATTGATAATTTTTGACCCACCACCCACCCACATTTAGTCTCGGGTTGGGTCGGGCGGATGGTGGATGATGCGGGTGGGTTTGTGGGTTCACCCACATCACAATGTATATAATATAAAGGATCAACTTGACATGATAATAGGTGAAGAGAATCATCGAGGGAAACAAGAAGTTGAAATAGGGCAAAAAATGTCGAATTAATTCTTAAATTGGATAGAAATTCAATTATGAAAGGTTGGAAGGTTGGCTTTGAGGTTCAAACTCCAGGAACAGTTCGAGTTTATATCTAACGTCTCCACTCTCCTCTCTCTAGCGCCAACAACTTTGATCTTTTTGCTGTTGGGTTGAGCGGGTCACCCGCACATTCACCCACAACCCATCCACCACCTGGCGGATGGCTCCCAGCGCAACCCGTCACCCACCCACAGACCCACTCACTTAAAAAAATTCGGGTCAAATGAGGGTGAGTCCACCCAAACCCGCGGATGATCCGCCCGCATGCCCAGCCCTAACATCTACGGAGAAAAACCTCAGATCGCAAAGAAGGGGGTTTGGATGTAAATAAAAGTGTGAACCGGTGATGAATGCGTAGATAGACGATAAATATAGGGACTCAAACTGTGATTATACCACCGTTGGCGTTGGGTTTTCCTTTTTTGAAGTTTTTTCTGGTATCGTGGGGGTCACACGGTCAAAGGGGGGCACACTTTTTTATTTATTACGTTTGGGGGCATCTGCAGCTTTTTATTTATTTATTATTATTTTGGCGGGGAGCGAGCGTGGGTTGTGCGCCGCGAGTTTCTAGCCGTGGGATGAAGATAAAGGCGGGAACGTGGAGGCGGAATGGACGGCTGAGATGAGGTGCACGGTGGGGGGAGTGAGTGGACGAGCGTCCAATTGAGAAGCGTATAATTCGGGAGCGTGGGGCTGGACTGGTTGGGCCCACTGTTTTTTTTCTTCCGGGTGTTGTTTTGGGCCGGTTAGGTTCGTCGGCCAGGAGGCCGGTGGCCAAAGTTTGAGAAGAAGACTCAACGTAAAAAAAGTGTGTGACCAGGAGGCCGGTGGCCAAAGTTTGGGTGGTATGGTATCTAAATAAGCATATATGGGGTGGTTTGGGTAAGATGGTTGAAAAATATATGGCTTAGAGTTGAGTGAATATTGCATCTTATGGTATGGGTGGTCCGACCGGAATAACATATTGTCGGAGTTCGGAACTGGTATATGATTTTGTTGAGATGAATCTAGATAACTTTGGTTTAATCGTAAAATATTCTACGATAACTAAACCGTGTTGTATCGACGATCCAACGGGAGAAAAAAGAAATTACATGAAATTTCAAATCGACATTTAATTTTATTACTATGAAATAGTTAAACCATAATTTAATCACAAAAAATGCTCTACTATTGGTTTTTATCCAGTATTATTTTACAATATGTAAGTTTAAATTTAGATAGATGTGGAGTTCGGGTTCAAAATGTGTCATCGACGTTTCACTGAAGGTACCACGTCATCTTTTTTTCCTATTGATTTTTTTTAGGGTGACATCAATTTTATTTTAATTGTTACATGCTAGTGAATCAACTTTTAACACGAGGACTCGAGGTTGGAGATCGACTATAGAACCGTTTAGATCAAGTTCTTGTTCGGCTATTGGTGGTGTCTTCGTAAATCTCCGTTGGTGACCATAGAACGGCAGAAAGGGTCTAAACCCATGTACAATCAACAACAGTTGGGATGCATATACGACATTTGAGGCACCAGTATGATTCCTCTCTGAATCGATCCTTCTACGAATTTCTTATTTTGGATCTTAAATCGTTTATCCAAGTCATCCTCGCCTACAACAAAATGATTTGCGATATTCACGTGTGCCAATTACTTTTCACAATGTGAAACATATCGTACTCAATCCACTCTCGTTTGTATGGTGTATGATGTAGTGTAAATAAGAGATACGAGACTTTATTATATTAAGGTTCATACGTACTAGTCTTTGCTTAAAGTATAGGCTGGTGATATTGAGGCGCCCATCGACATAAGATCGTGGAGTTGGGTAAAGAGGCATGAATGAATGCAAAAGGGAAAAAGGTTGGGAAGAAAGAAAAAAAACGAACGGGAGACTGTGGAAATGGGCACGAGTAAGAGTAACTGAACCAGCCTTCCGTGTAAGACTATGATGAAATGAAACGTAGATGGGTAGTAATTGCTCTATGACTCACACACATGTACAAAAGAGAACATGCCGAATGATTAACTAACTAAGGGCATTGAGTAATTAGGGGGGGCAACACTGTTAATAATACCTACTTTAACAAATCAATCTGGGAGAAATTTGGTTTAGTGGGATTTGCTATCTTTGTTGACAAATTCATATCCGTTATCTATTGAAGAGAGCAGTTGTAGCACCACGTTTCTACTAAACTTTGAAATTTGGATAAAAGTACATGTAATTTTTTTTAATAAATTTGTAAAACAAATTAGTTGATGATCAGGCTGTTGAGAACTGGTTGGTGTCAATAACTCAAGGTGTTGAAAGATGTTGAATAATGGATCTTATACCGCATATTAACACGTCCCTTCAAACGATAGCCAACTCATATGGGGTTGAAGTTTGCACAGGTCCGAATACCATGTGCTTAACAAATGTGGGTCGTTGGAATTCGAACAAAGATCTCTTAGTCACAGAAGACTTTGATATCATATGATGAATCAGTTGGCTCGCTGATAGCTCAAGTTGTTGTAAGATGTTCAATAATAGATATTATACCCCATATTAACATGGTCTAGCCCCCTTCCCAAATACCTTGGTTCAGTTCTCGCAGTTTAGCTTTTTTCAACAACCCTCGTCATGATTTCTAACTCCGTCATTGATGAATAGGAGAGTACTCCAGGAAGATGAACATTCATGTATGTAAACTTAGGTTGGGTATGATTTGATTGGATCATCATGGTCTTGACATAATAGATAGCAAGATAACGTGTAGATGTCGTATGGCATTCTCGATTAGGAAAGAAATGCAAAGATGAGGAGAAGCGATAAAATACAACGCCCTCTCATCTCAGGAGTCATGATGCATATGGGCCTTATATTTTCAGCACGGGCCCATTTTTCAAACATGGCCCAATATACATCGAACTAGAATTGCATGCGCATTCATCACGTTCCATCCCATCCCATTTGTCAAAGTTTCTGTTTTAGTCTTATTTTAGTTGTTTGATATTATTAAACTATAACGGTAAGGGAATTTAGAGTAATTGGTTCTAAAATGGTAGAAAGACTTTAAAAATACCTCAACTCATTGATAAACAAGTTAAACACGAGCTCAACTTATTTAGCAAAACCTAACTCAATCTCGACAAAAGGTTGATTTGATTTATCAAACAATTCATAACCTTAACTCTTTATGAGTTCAAATGGTTGAACTCCTAACACGAATTTTAAAACAATTTATAAATTAAATACCATAGTATGTGTGTCACGTATGATACATGTGATTAATGAGCACTTCTACTATATTTTAAAGTACTGGTGCTTTAAAGTACAACTTCAATGCTTTAAAGTACAATTTGAAGTTGTATCATAACGTTAAAGCAAAACCTAACTCAATCTCGACAAAAGCTTGATTTGATTTATCAAACAATTCATAACCTTAACTCTTTATGAGTTCAAATTACACATTTGGTCACTCAAATAACATAAATCTTTCACGTTTGCCACCAAAATTACTTTTCTTTCATATTCGCCACTAACTTTACGATCCGTTTCACCGTTAGTCAGCGACCGTCAGTCTCCGTTAACTCCGTTAGTTTTTTTGTGACGTGGCAAACGGAATAGCTGACTGGACCGTTAAACAATGATATGTCAATTAAAAAAAGACAAAATCAGGCCCCACCATCTCCCTCGTCTTCTTCACCTTCCCCACTGTCGCCTTTTGTTCGTCAAGCTTTTCATCTTCCACAGTGTCATCAATAAACAACCATTCCTTCTCCCTGAAATTCTTTCCATGCGAATCAACTAATCCATTTTGCATTGTAGCATCAAATGCTCGTCCACAAAAAGCCCCAATCCCAAGCTTGTCCACTTGTCGCCGCCGCATCACTCCCCCGTTCCTCCTCTTGCCGACTCGCCGCCAAATCCAGAGTCGGAGTCGATCGTGGTCGAGGAGAAGAAGGAAATGGGAAGCTGACTTTGGTCTGAGAAAGAAATGGGAAGATGGGAGGTCGTCGACTCGGCAATTTAAATGGTCCCGACGAAGATCAATTACCCCGC